TTTGGCTTCAAATTATGTCGTCCTGGACGGGTATTACGGTGAGTTACGGCGCTTAACAGCCAGTCCCTTGAACAGTCATCGGGGTGCTAATAACGATTGTAGGCTGTGACTGCCTATTCCCCGACGTTGCTTGCTCAGGCAGGTTATAGTGATATAAAGCAAAATGGTCTTGCTGGAGGAATTAACACAATCGGAATTATAGGTACCATTATCAGTGCTCAAATCATTGACCGATTGGGCCGAAGGGTGTGTTTGATGGGCGGAGCGGCTGTTTTGTTTGCAGTTAACCTCATTGTGAGTTTTTCTTCTGCAGATCGAATCTCTTTCTCCTGACAACTTTATAGGCTGGAGCTGTTTATGAAGGATCGCTGCATAACCCTGAAAAGGCATCTCAATATGCGCCTGGTGCTGTGACTATGCTCTTTTTGTTCAACCTGGGGTAAGTCAGCATAAAATTGCGACACTCTATTTATATCTTCTAAAGTTATCGTAACTAGTTATGCTGCCACCTGGGGGACAGTTGCTTTCTTGGTCCCCACTGAGATCTTCCCCAGTGATCTACGAGCCCAAGGCAACGGATTCGGGATCACAGGGTGGGCCATCGGGGTGGGTATGACCACTTTAGTCAACCCCATCATGTTTGATGCCATGACCGTAAGCCTCCTCGACTTTACACCTCAATTGAGATACTGACGACCATCTAGAGCCGTACATACTTTTTGTTTGCTGGCCTTAACCTCATCTGGATCCCGATCGTCTACCTATGTATGTTTTTGATGCTTTGTTAATCCATGTCCAGTTCTAAGATCTAACATAATCTTTTGTCGCAGTCTACCCCGAAACCCGCAACCGCTCTCTTGAGTCGATTGATTCTCTTTTCTCGACGTCCAGTCCATTCTACTGGAAGATGGAACAGGCCTATAAGCTCCATGGCGATGTCCTCGCTGAGCACGGAGTCAACAGGAGCGAGGCTTTCAGTGGCGGCAAGACCGAGCTGGAAACCTCCCTAGCTAAACTTGCAACTGTCTAAAGCATCACACCCTAAGCTCTACGCAACACATGTATAAAATATGTACCAAAAGTTGTTACCCGGCACTTTATGTATTATAAGAGATTATATTCACCCCGTTCTTACTTCTTTTTCACTTGTTTCTCACTTGTTACCAGTAATGGCCCTGTGGGTTAGGTCGTAACTTCGTATATAGTTAATTAGTCAAGGACCTATATATGACACCTTGACAAACAATATATGCACTGAATTTCTCTTTCAAACTTGCATGCAAATTAGATTTGATCTACAACATTGTATACCAATATATTGTACTCTATCTTTTAGACCCAATAATCATCGAAATCTCCACTGCATTCGATTGTCCCAGCGTCAACCTGGAACCGGGAATGACACGCTGCTGAGTCAGCTTCTGTGGCTTGTAACTCTAATACTGACTTTTATCCTCGCTGATTTCTAGGATTCAATTGCACATCGATGTCATCGGAGAAAATTACTGCTTGAGCTTGATTGTCATTGGTTTTTGCCTTTCTCCCATTCTGCACAGGCTTACCCCAGGATCTTGCACACGCGACCCGTGTCTCTGTGCTGACCCCGTACCCCGTTTCTCGACCGAAGCTCGGGGCCCACGAATTGTCTCCCGATTCCTTGCGCCTGGGACCACCAATTTCCGAAATTGGAATGAACTAATGAATTGAATGTCGCAAAAACCCCGAAAGCTCCAACGCGTCTCCAAAGCCTGTAAGATCCCCACGTTTAATCGTATACTCCACCCGCGCTTAGCGGCAATTATTCCCCCGGATTGTACTAGAAAGCTCTGAACTCATGTTGCATCCACAGGCGACTTCTGCAACAGACGCAGCATCAAGTGCGGCAGAAGTGAAGACCCGCTAGGCAGATGTCAGAATTGTGCGGATTTTGACGTCCCGTGCACCTTTGATCGCCCCGCAAAGCGCCGGGGCGTCAAGGCTGGCACCAGGGCTTCCATGCGAGAGACACCGTTGGTAGGAACACCTGCCCCCGAGAATATCCTCCCTGTACCGCCTGCTGCGCAGGCTACAGAGCGGATGTCAAATTCCTCTGCGTCTAGGAGCTCGTATTACACCGAGTCAGCCCACCGCCCGTCATTGACTGGGGATCCATGGACTACCTTCAATGCTGGTGGCGTGGCAACGGAGGGGTATGATGATGACGGCGCACTGCGAAACTCGTGGAATGCATTTGCCATTGCCAGTGATCGTCAAATCCGAAATCTTGTGCAAGTATACTTCGAAATTGTGTATCCAATGTACGAATCGACCTTATCATTACTCCTATCCTTTTCAATGGCTGATAAATTTGCAGCTTCCCGATTTTCCACAAGAAATCTTTCATTGAGAAAGTTCATAACCAAGAACACCTCCGGAATCCGGGGTTGTTTGCCTCAACAATGGCAGTTTGCGCATTGGTTTCTGGACGCGCGCGAGATGGCGCGCTGTTCACTAATAGATGGCATCGGGATGAACTTGCCGAACCTCCATCTGAGGCATTTTATGCCGCGGCCAAGGATTCTATTCCCCGAGACCTTGCAGCGGCAAGAGGCATTAACTATATGCGTGCATGCGCTATTCTCGCAATTGCCAGCATTCAAAACGGCCAGATCAAGGATATGCAAAAGTATTCCGGCATGTACCACACTCTCACCAGCATGGAGGGCCTTCATGATGAAAAACTTTGGCCGAAAAATTTGAGTCCTATCGAAACCGAGGAGCGGCGAAGACTAGTATGCATTCCTTCATCTTATGGTTGCGCTTTCCACTGACTTATAGTTATGAAGTTCTGGTCTATCTATACATTGGATATTTATTCCACCATTTTATGGGGAGGCGTGATTCGATACCGGGAAGCGCATTCTCTGGTACGATATCCTAGTGAAGTTGACGATGAATTCATCACACCACACGGGTACGGGCTGCCGCCCGTGTCTCCAGAGTTGGGCGCCAGCCCGGACGATGTGACTGTCGTATCACGGCAACCCGTAGCATGGCTTCGGGGCTGGAACTTTACGACAGATCTCTATCGAATTCTAGAATACGTTGTCGATGGCAATCGGCGTCGTTTCTCGTCAGCCAACGGAACCTCACAGGTATGGTCTCTGTTTGCTCCGGCGTCCATGTCAGAACCAGCAGTCATGGAGAGGGTACTATCCATGTACGCCGCGCTGCCGTCACAATTTAAAGAAACCCCACCCACTACAGGCGACATGTCGAAAGATCTGTTTGGGTTCCAGTCTGCCAACATCCAGGCAACACTACAGCTCCTCCGGATGGTGCTCTTGTCGGCGGAAGAGCTTGGTGTAGACCGCAAATGTGACGTGGCTGGAGAACTTCTTAGTGTCTTCAGCAAAGTTCCCGTGGAGTATCTGAATGCCATCAGCTCCCCTTTGGTATGTCCATCATCATTGCTATTATAACTCCAATTTTTCTAACCTCTCGCAGCTTCATCATCTCGGCGGAATCGGCTATATCCTCGGCTCTGTAATGGAAGGAAGTTTATCAGAAGCATCCTACCAACGCGTCCGCACGTTGCTGTAAGCCTTTTACCCATCCTAAGCCAACCGCCCAAATTAATAACCTCCCTACAGACTCGAAATGGCCAACCTCCTCGGCCGCCTCGAGACAGGTCTCCAGCGCGCCGCCGGCGCCAGCCAACGACTCCGGTCGCAGGTGGACAGAATCGACGGCTACATGCGTACCTCCCGGTTACTCAATCTCACAGCGCCACACCCACACCCGCACCCTCAACAAAACACAATCCCCATCGATACTAAACGCGAAATCCCTATGTCACCCACAACATACATTCCTCCCAGTGGCCCAGCCCCGGCAGTCGGTCCACCGACGGCAATGGGCGGGCAGATGATGCAGTTCCAGCTGCCGCCGGAGTTGTTGTCGGATTGGCCGTGGCCATTGGATGGGGCTCATACGGAGGGTTTCCTTCCGCTGGCGTTTGAATAATTCACTTGGAGTTTGCTGGGTGGATTTGTGGGAGTTGGAGGCTGCGTGTTTAATGATTCCATAGAGTAGAGCAAAAGGATTGTATTTAATCATCTGTTTATAGTTATCTATGGCGGTAATCGAGCTGAATTCACGAATCGTGGTGTTTATTACTGCTCTTTGTCCTACCTATATTTGCTTTGTTTGTGCATTTCATATCTTTCACATATTCGTTTTCAAGTTCAAACATCAATCCCGGGCCGGTCTGATCAACGAAGAACCTACCCAGAGAGCAAACGGCCCATGGACTTCTGCATGATGCTCAACAAGATCTATTTACATTGAGTGGAGTGGTGGGGACGGACCTCGGGAGGCTGTTTATATGTCGTTGTAATACTCATTTTTGCCCACTTTTTTATGTGGAGATGCCAATTGAAAGCATTTCAAAGCACACACCTGCAGCAGTACAAGACATTCTTTTGACATTTTGACATTTTCTAGACCACGGACCTAAAACTTGAACTGGTATATACAGACTTCATTCCATCATAAAGAATACGGAAGGTGATGCCCCTCATGGGCTTTACCCTTGTACTCTGTAGGAAAGATACAAAAATCACCGGGCCGGCGTCTAGTGCTCAAGCCCCCGCTGGCTTGTCGGTCAAAATGCGGGGGTATACGTTTTGACTTTTGCCCTGCTTCGGCAACTCCCCCAAAGCTAAATGAGAACATTACCATATGTACTCCGCAGTCCAAGGTGAATGGAACCGAGAGGGTCGGAGAGGTTTTGTTGGTCATTGGGAGTCGATAGGAAATTTTGAACTGCTTTAAGCCTGCTGGTCTTAATGTTTTGATATTGCCCCCGGGCAACTTCCGATATCAGGGTTTTGATTTGTCTAAGAGTTTACCGCACAAACGAGTCTGAGGCATTAACATCTCTCGAGGTCTTATCAAAAGTCTTTGTCTTGAGCTGTGACCCTTGGCCTAGTCAAGCATGCCCAGTGGTCAGCCCCCGTTTAATCCCTGATAAGCTTATCACTTGGCAGATCTTCAAGGTTTAGCATCGCCTTCTCCTCCCCCTTTTGGGGATGTTCCGGTAGACTTCTCTGATCCCGGTCAACATTTCTCTTATCAGTAGTGTTTGAGGTCTCGTGTATTGCCGGCCCCATGCTCTTGGCGGCTTTGTTTGATTGTTGCATGATCAACATGTATGCCGTCCACTGGTCTAGTTATCTATTAACATCGTTGACTCCGCACGCTCTTGACCCCAATGTCAGTGCGCATATAAAGAGTCATGTTCCCCGCCTCTTGAATTGGAGTCATTCTAGGCTCGAGTAGCATTTCGCCATGGAGAAGAAAGATTCTACAGACGTTTCCGTTCCTGAGGATACTAGTTCAGGCGATGTTTTACCCATTCGGCAGACACAGCGCGGTCTGTCGTCCCGACATGTGCAATTAATGGCCATTGGAGGCTCAATCGGTACTGGGCTTTTTGTCGGTATTGGATCCTACCTGCGCGATGCCGGTCCGCTGTCAGTGTTCCTAGGGTATCTTATTTGGGGATGTCTCTTTATCTTGCCTGTCAATCTGTGTGTTGGAGAAATGGCTGCATACCTTCCTATTCGTGGATCGATCTTTGAGCTCGCTGCCCGGTTTATTGACCCGGCATTTGGGTTTGCTATGTAAGTCCTTCCATGTCCTATCTTGCTTGCTTTACGCTGCAGACACTAACCCTTTTAGGGGCTGGGTATATTTCTATGGCGGTGTAATGTTAGTCTGTACGGAGTACTCTGCAGTCTCAACAATCATGCAATACTGGAACACAAGCGTCAACCCAGCCGTTTGGGTAGCCATGGCACTGATTGTTTGCACGATACTCAACCTTGTCTCCGTGAAATGGTACGGCGAGAGCGAATTCGTCCTAGCATCGACCAAAATCCTTCTCCTCATCGGACTCGTCCTCCTCACCTTCATAACAATGGTTGGAGGAAACCCCAAGCATGATGCCTATGGCTTCCGGAATTGGACCGAGGGCGTCATGTTCGAGTACTATACCGAGGGCAACACGGGCCGATTTTTAGGCTTCTTCTCTGTCATGGTCTACGCAGCTTTCTCTGTAGCTGGACCTGATCTCCCAGCCCTAGCCGCAGGAGAGATCCAGAACCCACGAGTGACCATCCCCCGAGTTGTGAAGATGACTTTCTACCGTATTGTGGGATTCTATGTCGTCGGAGTCCTAGCTGTAGGAATCATCTGCAGCCCCCGCGACCCACGTCTCATATCCGCGATTACTGACGGTGCTGCCGGCTCCGCTGCTTCACCTTGGGTCATTGGAATCGAAAACCTCGACATTAAGGGTCTGCCTGATCTGATCAACTTCCTGATTTTGCTATCGGGCTGGTCATGTGGCAATGCCTACCTTTACAGCTCCAGCCGAACACTCTACTCCCTCGCTCGCGATGGCCAAGCACCGAAGTTCCTTTTGAAATGTACTGCATCCGGCATCCCCATCAACTGTGTCATCACGGTATCTCTTTTGTCTTGCATCACCTTCCTCGTGGCTAGTACATCTTCCGTCGAGGTCTTCTTCTGGTTCGTCGATTTGACCACCATCGCCTTCGTGCTCACCTACACGGGCATGGTGTGCGTCTTTATTGCCTGGTACCGCGCCATGAAAGCGCAAGGAATCGACCGAAAGTCATTCGTCCCATGGGCTGCGCCATGCCAGCCATACGGGGCAATTCTCGCTATTATTATCGGCTGCACAACCGCTATCTTCAATGGCTTCTCTGTCTTCAAGCCTTTCAGTGTGCAAGGCTTCATCACCTCGTACTTCGGTCTGGGCTTCTGGGTCGTCATGTTTGTCTTCTGGAAGGTGTATCATCGCAGTTCCTTTGTGAAGGTTGCAGAGGCAGATTTGTACTCTGGGAAGGCGGAGATCGATGAAGAGTGTAAGATCTGGGAAGAAGGTGGGTTTGCGGAACGGCGGAAGGAGGAGCTGGCTAAGATGCATTGGGTCCGGCGAGTATGGGAGAAAATGTGGTGATTGTTTATGTACTTGGTGCTTTGTTTGTATATATATACATCTCTCTTATTCTTCATCGAATCTACTCCACCGTTCGATATTTGCTATCTCCAGAGCCTATAAGGACAAAATACTCCAGACCTATTTTCGTCTCTCTTTTTTTAATTCCCTCGTCTCAACATAAGTCATCTTATGGGGTCCATTTGGATATCAAAGTATACGTTGTCGGGGCCGACCAGCGGAACAAACTACATATCTATCCTCATCGCAGTCGGCGAGCATAGCTGGAGATAAAGGAAACTCCGATTTCAACTTGATTGTAAAGTCCTAATGTCTTTTCTATATCTAAATAGGTATATATATGAAAGGTAGACTATAAGAGTTGTACCTCTCATAAATCAGACCTTCTGATTGGTCGGCAGTGTGATGCTCAAGGGCACGCACCGGTGGAGACCGGAACTGGAAAAGAAAAGTTGCCCGGTTCACCTGGACAAGCTTCTCCAGACTTGCGAACAACATCAATTCCACCATGTCCACCATGTCAACTCGCTCCGCCTGGCGAGCTTTGCACTACAGCGCCAAGCGTCGTGCTTTCCAACCATCCACCCCCTACCGTTGTTTCTCCTGTGCCAACCGCGCTCAGGAGCAGAAGCCAGAGAATGACCGCATGACACACTTCGGCTTCACGAATGTGCCCGAATCAGAGAAGGAGACGCGAGGTAAGGATTCACCATAACCCTATCCAATTGACCTCTCAATTCTACCAACCCGGAACCCATAACTAACTGCCATACCCTCTACAGTCGGCGCCGTCTTCAGCTCCGTAGCAGCCTCCTACGACCGCATGAACGACTTAATGTCCCTCGGCATCCACCGCCTGTGGAAAGACCACTTCGTGCGATCCCTGAACCCAGGCTCCTGTCTGCCCGCCATGACCGCCGACCAGCGCGGCTGGAACATCCTGGACATCGCCGGCGGGACCGGCGACATCGCCTTCCGCATGCTGGACCACGCCACGAACGTCAACCACGATATGGAGACCCGCGTGACGATCAGCGACATCAACGCCGATATGCTGGCCGAGGGCCGCAAGCGCTCGCTCGACACCCCCTACTACAATACGTCGCGACTGGACTTTGTCGAGGCAAACGCTGAGCACATGCCGCATATTCCCGATGCCTCGGTGGATCTGTACACTGTTGTTTTTGGAATCCGAAACTTCACGGATAAGCAGGCTGCGCTGAATGAGGCGTATCGTGTGCTCAAGCCCGGTGGTGTCTTTGCTTGCATGGAGTTCAGTAAGGTCGATAACCCCGTTCTGGATGGGATTTATAAGCGTTGGAACTTTAGTGCTATCCCGCTTATTGGTCAGGTTGTCGCTGGTGACCGTGATAGTTATCAGTATCTCGTTGAGAGTATTGAGCGTTTCCCTAGTCAGGAGGAGTTTAGGGGTATGATTCAGAAGGCTGGGTTTATGATTCCTGGCCAGGGCTTTGAGAACCTTACCGGTGGTATTGCTGCTATCCATAAGGGTATTAAGCCGATTGTTAAGGCCTAATTGCGGAGGGTTGCTGTGTTCAAAGTGTGTGGGGAGATGGCTGTTCTGTACTATATAGACCTGGGACTTTACATACTGATTGTATTACCATGAGAAATATCATTGGCGTTGATTTGCATCGTGTATGAACAGCCTTGCCTGTGAGGCTCGGGCTTCGGTTGTAAATGTGCATGTAAATATATATATGTATGGAAAGAGAAACATAGCTGTGTGGGCGTAACATCGTCAACCGGATGCGTGATAATGCAAACGATATGTAAAATCAAGTGAGTATATCCAAGAAAGAGAGCAAAAAATGGGTCGCTTTTCAGCCATGTCATCCATCCAATAGATCTTCTGCCTCCATCACTCCCAAGAAACTGCCGGGATAGGCCATATCTTTCACGACCGCAACGACGGAGACTGGATCTGATCTATTTCGAGATTCAGAAACAGTACGCCGGATTTCAGCGAGGGGTGTTGAGTCTGGCACCAATAGCCATTTACTTTGAGGTACAACAAATGGAGTATCGGGGTCATTGGCCATAACCTCAGACACACGCATCTCCATATCTCCACTAGGCGAAAGGAGAGCACGAATGCGCCGCGGAGGGATTATTTCAGACGGAGACAACAACACCCATGATTTGGCATTGGGATGCTGGATGGCTGTGAGAAGGATATCGAGAAGTCTGACATCGCCGGGTGACTGCGATGAAGACGCAGAGGCAATGGGGATTTGATCGAGCGGGACTAGCATATCTCGAGAAATGACACGCTGTTCCGGTGGGGGCTGTAAAGTGAAAGGAGGGATCAACGGAGTATTCGTGATTTCCTCCCACGGAAGAGACACGGACGACATTGGAGAGTCAAATGTCCTCGTTGACATGCCGCTCGACGGCGTGGTCAGCGGTGTCTCTGCCATCGCCGCTCCAATAGCACCACCAGGATGGAACCCCCGAAAGACCTCTGCAGGGCTCTTCCCTGTCGCAGTGTGCAGCTTCCGGGCCGTAGCAATAGCGAGCGCATCGCCTAGCGACAAAGCCACGGTCGTGGACGACGTGGGCGCGCGCACACCGAAAGAAGACTCTTCATCCTCATGAATTGGTGCCGGTAAAAGAATGCCCATCCCAGAAGGGCCATGCAATGAGAGAAGCGGACATGACGCTGGATGTGTATGGGATGTAAGAGCGATGACCGGGACAGTAGCGGGAAGATGCGGAAGCAGAGATAAAAGTTCAGGCGAGCGACCAGAGAAGGATATGAGAAGAACGGTATCATTCTGGATAGACCAGGTTAGTATCGAAGTCTCCAAAGTCTTATCACAAGCCAAGCGATCGCGATCGTGATTCAAAAGCACGCATCTGCAGGCGCAGGCGCAGGTGGGCTTACCGGCCGAACCAATCCCAGATCGCCATGCAAGGCTTCAGTCGGATGCAGGAACGCGCTGTACACACCAAGACTATTCATCGTAGCCTCGATTTTGCGTCCGACCTTTCCACTTTTCCCGACCCCGCAAACGACCAGTTTCCCACCCTCGCGCACGCTCCGCGCAATCTGATCCACGGCCCGGGCGAGATCGTGCTGCGCCCGCGCGTCGGTCTGGTAGATGTGCTCGAGGTGGGCGAGAGCTGCTCGCTCGGTTGAGATCACATGGATTGCTGTTACCACTGATGAGACATCTTTTGGGGCTGGTGGATCGGATGAATTAGGAGGAGTGAGAGGCCACGAGGGGGGTTCGTGGGCGGGTTCTTCGAAGATTGACATGGCGGGTAGTTCTCAATGTCTATAGCATAGTGACTGGGAGTAAGATGATTTTATGAGTGGAATGGTCTCTTCGCACGCCTGGGCGCCGGTTAACTCGAGGCCGAAGATCAATGATCAGTCGATAACGGAAGATAACCAGTGGGTGATCGGAGATCGGGGTTTTCGTGTGAGACCGGAAATTATTACTACTTACATGGTCTTTTGAGGGGCAATTTGATTTATCCTTGCAATACCCCTTTCTGACATTGATTTCATGCCAATATACATAGCTCCGTCTAACCCCGTCTAAAAATATGGTGTCATTCTATGCTATAATGGTGAATGTGGAGGCGATCTACTTGCCTATTCGAGTATTTCCGAGGCCGATGCATAGAACATAAGAGAACATTTGAATATTAGTTTGAACGGATTTTCAGCAATTGACGTCTAACCCAAGAGGTCTATTTAGCCCTCATATATACAGAGGGTATAACAAAAAAAGGAAAAAAAGCAAGCCCGAAAATAGTAATATGTACATGCGGTTGGCCGCGGGGATAATAGCAAGATTCTCCCGCTAGTAATAGCTTCGAGCAAGGGTAAAGGCCAACATGTTTAGACTCAAAGAGTGCTCCACAAACTCCAACAAAAAAAACATCATCTGTCGCACAGGAAAGGACAGAAGGCAGGGGTATCGCATCAGGATGTCGCGTCGCTAGGGGTCATTATGAGTATGCCTCAACGGGCAGTAGTAGATCGTCGTATCATCCTTATCGACCCTCCTGTTTCTCTTTACCCTTTTCTGCCGTGCCATCATCTTCGTATAGATGATGCTGCTCGATGTAATGAATGACTGGAACTGGGATGAGGTAGCGCACACTCATCTCACGCCGCAAGAAGAGTCGAATCTTCGTGCTGCTAACATCATTCTGAATGAGCTGTTGGATGACATGGATATTGTCCTTCCAGGGCTGCAAGCTGGCCAGGGCTTCATCAATATCTGTGCCACTGCGCTCCACGATGAAAGACTGGGAGGTATGTTAGCGGCCCATTTCTCGAGCGCGGGATGAACGGGGTTCGATGTTCGAAGAAACTTACGCCGTATTTTCCTAGAATGTGATCCAGATCCTTCTCACTCCATACACCAGGTGTGGACATAGTATGGATCAGGTCTGCACCGGCTAGCAGAGCAATGCGAACAGGCTTCCGGGTTCCGTTTCCGGTGTCCACCCCCTCACGGACCACATTGATTTCATGATCGAAGTGATCCAGCACCACAGCAGTTGGCTGATAGGCCTTCTGAATTGGTTCCCATGTGTCCACCATCAACCAGTCAGAGGTTTGATCGACTGCAAGTTGGCACATCGCAACCCTGTAGATCAATCTCCGTTAGCCTTCGGGCACGGCTAAATCGAATAGAATAGATATAGAATCCCTTACCGATGTTCCGCACTGGCCAGACCAGCCTTGCGATAGGCGTCCGACACCGGCGACAGATATCCTCCAATGAGTTCGAAGTCGGTGCTGAATCTGACGTGATCGGCGGCCATTTCGAACATTCGCAGGTGTAAATAGGTAATTGGTGAGAAAGAACCACAAGCGACCAGCAAGAGAGGGGTCTTTTCTGGGTCGTTCATCGTGCGCTTGAGGCGATACTCCGGAAAGGTGTAGTCCTCCATCGGAGCGGGGGTGATGTCGGCGGGTATCTGGTGAACATCATCGCTCTGCCCGCCGACCATTTCGATTGTCATGATGCAGAGATAAATAGAGGAATAAATGTACCCGTAGCAGATCTTTAATTCCGGGGAAAGCAAAAGGGTAAGTTCGGAAAAAGGCGGGGAGATGAGAAGTCAAGAGATGAATTTCTGTGAATTGCGAATGGCGGGGGGCGAACCGAAGGCGGCAAGAAAAAACGCCGGGGAGGCCGAACAGTTGAAGGTGAAAAGGCGACGAAATATGTGTATGTTTCCTTTTTCTTGTTTTCTTTTTTTTTCCTCCCTGAATATCAGGTTCCAGCCCTGGAGATTCCCTGTGATTAATAAGATCGCAACCTCGGTGAGACAATTGAGTTCTATTCGGCGCGTCTCCGTCATCCGGATCAAACGCCGTTAGCCTCCATTTTGAGGAGTTAGCGAATATCAGTTATGGAGTTAACGGTTTAATAAAGTTCTTTTAGCTCTCAAGGTCCTTATTTCATTCTTACCTAGGTAGTTCTCGGCATTTTCATTGTTGAGTACTATATATATACATATGTATCAATGTGCTCCCGAGATCTTTACGGAGTACATGTATGAATGAACGTCTTTGGCCTTATTTAAATGATTAGACCAAATATAGACCACATATATCAAATATAATGTATCATAAAACATATAAAGATACACAAAAGGATCCCTTGAGATATTTCTTTCCGCTTGTACTGTCAGACAGGTGTTGGGCCCTCCCTGCCCAATATCCAGGCAAGATGCAAATGCCGGGAAATAAAGAAAGCCATGAAGTAATTGTGCAATAAAGCATTCTAGTAATCATGCTACATATGTAGTAAGTATAATAGGTAAGAAACTACCTAATCATACATATAGTATACCGTATGTTCAATTGTAGTGAATGTAGTTAAGTACCTAACTTATCTTTGAAGTAACTATAAGTACGTGGTTAGATCATCGAAATATTGCACTTCCGCCGCCTGACGCTCCCCGAATCCCATCACAAACCACATCCAACCCTCCTTCTTTCCAATCTTCCTTTTCTTTATATTTCCCCCTTCTTAACCCCCCAACCATCTAAGAAAAATTATCTTCTGTGCGACTGGAATTGGTAATCGTTCTTTTCTTTACGAGGTGATCGCCTAGCCCCAACAGCAACAGTAACAGCTACCCGAAACATCGTTCTCGCCAGCCCGTTCGGCTAGCCTTTGATAGGTGTGCGGATGGCGGGTTGAAAACGGTGACGACTACTCAATCGAGCTTCCCATATCCAATAACTTATGGCCAGGCAAAGGCCTTCCGCCAACCGCCAGGACCCTCTCGAGGATTATCCCGTCTCCCCCGCAGGCACTTCGGCCTCTTCTTCCCTGAGGTAGTTTCCCACCCGTTCTCTCCGCCTTGTACACTCTCGTCCGCCTGGAGGTTCAGACTCATCTTCCGTGAACTCTCACTGGCGAGAATCGGTTGATCCCTGAGTTCTTGTACCCTCCATTTATCCCCTGGGTTGTTAAGTGGATGGTTCGCGGTTCCTCGGGATCATCATCGCTTCTACATTTCTAGATTCGTCATCTGTCTACCCAACTATCTGCCTATCGCTTTGACCATCCCGGTCTTCTTTTCCTGTCTTTTTCTGTCTTTCTCTTTCTTCAGGCTCTCTTCTCGTCACGCATAATTAAAAAAAAAGACCACTTTCTCATGTCATCCAGAATAACTCGCTCCTCCGCGAGACTCGCCACAGACCCTCCACCTGCTGAGTCCGGTACACCGCTACAACCAACCGGCTCAACCTCATCCCGGAAACGCAAAGCATCGTCCCGCCACGACCGACAAGCAGACGCCCCGATACAGCCAGCACCGCAGTCGCCCCAAAGGAAAACCAAGCGACCGCGGACTGCAGCATCCCAAACAGCTCCATCCACTGGTCCTGTTCCTGCTGCACCCCGTCGAGGCGCCCGCAGCCGTCCAGCCATGTCACAACCGGGGTAGGTGATGATGATGCACATTGATGAATAGGAATCGGGGCTAACTTGATCTTCTTATCTAGACCGTCATCTCGACCGTCGGAGGAATCATCCAAATCGACGACGTCCCCACAACCAGGAAGGCGAAAGTCCAGTCGCAACGGTGAGTTTTATGGATGGAAACCGGCCGTGTGGCACATAATTGGTGTCTAAATGTGATGGTTACTGATTCCGTCTGCTGATTTATAGATCGACCAGCGACCACACAGTCTCCACCACCCCGACGCTCGAAGAAGCGTTCCGCAAAGCCAAATCCCGATGTTGTGATGAGAGATGCAGAGGAGGAAATCGAGCAGGAGGAGCACCAGGAAGAACATCAAGGATCCCAAACAGGAGAGAGCAACGATGGCACCAACCCCTCGACGTTTGGAGATGATGATATGGATCCGTTCCACAGCAGCCTGTTCGGTGGCCGAGGCGCCATGGGACTTCAGAGCACTTTGCGTGCGCTTACTGGAATGATGAGCGGCATGTCCTCACGTCTTCGAGATATCCTCTCCAACCTGAGAGCCAAGGATGATCCGTCTCTCCAACTGATCGCTCTGCAAGAGCTGTCGGATCTCTTGCTTGTTTCGAACGAGGATAATCTGTCTGGTCAATTTTCGCCGGACCCGTACGTGAAGGAGCTCGTGGCGCTGATGCAACCGAACCAGTTCGGCGAAGAGAATCCCGAGATCATGCTTCTTGCATGTCGCTCTCTCGCGAACCTGATGGAGGCCCTACGGGGCTCCGTAGCGAATGTTGTGTATGGTGGTGCTGTGCCCATCCTTTGTCAAAAGCTGCTTGATATACAGTTCATCGATCTAGCTGAGCAGGCTTTGAGTACTTTGGCCAAAATCTCAGTCGACTTCCCAGCCTCAATTGTGCGAGAAGGTGGATTGACTGCTTGCCTCACATATCTGGATTTCTTCCCCACCAGCACTCAACGCACAGCAGTCAGCACGGCGGCCAACTGCTGCCGCAACCTTCCTCATGACTCGTTCCCTGTGGTGCGGGATGTCATGCCTACCCTACTCAACGTCCTCTCTAGTAATGACCCTAAGGTTGTGGAGCAAGGGTGCCTATGCGTATCCCGGATTGTCGAGAGCTTCAAGCACAGACCTGAGAACCTGGAGGAGCTGATTGAGCCTGCAATGCTCAAGGCTGTTCTTCGGCTCCTACTTCCAGGAACAACCAACCTGATCGGGCCTCATATCCACACGCAATTCCTTCGGGTATTGGCAATTGTATCGAAAACAAGCCCACGGTTGTCGAACGAGCTTCTCAAGATGGATGTAGTGGATACGCTTTACCAAATTTTGACCGGCGTGTCACCGCCACATGACGTGGACAACACGGCTGTCAAGATGGACAGCGTGCTAGTTATGCAAGCATTGATTCATCGACCCCGTGAACAAGTATTTGAAACTCTCAATGTCATCTGCGAGCTACTGCCAGGTGTTCCAAGCCGCGATGCCTCGAAGACTGACAACCTCCTAAGCTCATACTTTGATAGCCACATGTCTATCGGACTGAGGTCGCCTAAAACTAAAGAGGCAGTGGAGGAGAGGCGGTCCTTGCTTGTCAACTGCAAGACTGAGCTCAAGCGTTTTGCGATGATTCTGTTCCCGACTTTGACCGATGCCTACTCGAGCACGGTCAATCTGCATGTCCGCCAGAAAGTCCTGATTGCACAGCTGAAGATGCTGCACATTCTTGAGCCTTCTTTGATTGAAGACGCACTGCGCACAGTCCCTTACGCTTCATTCCTGGCTGCTATTCTGTCCCAGAAAGACCACCCTTCTCTCGTATCTTTGGCGCTACGCTGCGCCGAGCTACTCTTCCAGCGGCTTGAACATGTTTATCAGCATCAATTCCACCGTGAAGGAGTGATCTCCGCGATCATCAAACTATCCGAAGGCTCTCTGTCGGGAGACCAAGAGATCATCGATTCATCCGATCCCACACATATAAACACGACCACAGATTCATCGCGCGGCACCAACCACGGCGAGACTGGAGCTGGCGGAGATGATGAGGATGAAGACGAGGAAGCCGACGACTATGACGACGAGGATGGCGAGGATGATGACCATGATGACATGTCTGATTCCGAGGATGACTTCATGGCGGGCCCACGCAGTCTACAAAAGATGGACAATGCGCTAAACGACGTAGTTATCCGAGATGCTCAAGCTTTCCTCGAGGTATATGAAGCAAGCCATGGCGAAACAGTTAGAGCAGAGGCTCTGAGGATCTTGACAGCACTGAAATCTCTTGCCTTCGAAATCAAGTCACGCTATTCCCGTGGCGGTGAGGGTGGCCTTCCATTATTTAAACAGCTCGCGTCATACTTTGATGGAGACGGCTTAGAGAGCATTACCAGCTCTGAATTGCTCAACTCCGGCATCATAGAGGTTCTTCTGGGTGTTCTTGGCAACTTCCAAGCGCCTTCTATTCGCGATGCTAGGGCCGACTTCCTGCGGGCGTTTATGGGTGTTTCAATCTCAGACAAGGCTCAAAGCCAGAGCACCGCCACGACACCTTTCAGCGTACTTATCCGCAAGTTGCAAGACCTGCTTAGCAGGACGGAACATTTCGAAGTCCTCACCGTCAGCCACAATTCGCTGGAGAATACCCGCAGCAACGCCGCCTACATGCTGAGCAAACAGCTTCGACTCAAGCTAGTTGCCGACGAAGGCTCCGAAGTTCCTCGTCCTTATCGGAACATCATGGTGTCAATCCATGCCATTGCTACATTCAAGGCCTTGGATGACTTCCTTCATCCCCGAATCGCCGTGGCGGAAAAGCCTCGCCCCTCGCGAACCAGGGACTCGATTCTCTCCCAAATTGCCAATGCATCCCGACTTCGTGAACAGCTGGCTTCGGGGTCTGGGATGAGCCTTCCAAGTCACACAGGGGGCCCGCAGGGCACTATTACCGATCCTACGGATGGTGTCTATGATCCCCCAACTGATAACCCGCATCATCATTCAAGTCGGATACAAGAAGATGAAGACGAAGACCACGATGACGAACCCCTTGAGTGCGCAGATGAAAGGCAAATAACCGACGAAGAAGAAGACGGCGGCGAGGATGACGAGGATGAAGCACTCAACGCCATTGTTGATGATCTTGATGAGGATATGGAAAATGACAATATCTCTGACCCCTCGGCAGTCAACATGGAGGTGGCATCCTCTGGCAAGGTCACAGCTCGCAAGGAGGACGGTACCCGAGTTGGGACTCCCTCCCAGACGGCTACGTCCAAACCCTCATCATCGACTCCTGCCGCTCTCCCCAACCACATGCGCAACAGCTCGCTCGCCACTGCCGGACGCCCGTTCTCATCTTATGCCGCTGCGATGGCCTCGGTGCCCCAGGACTGGCACCTTGAGTTTTTTGTAGATGGCAAGCCCGTTACTAATGAGACCACTATCTACCGTGGTGTTCATCATGATCGTGAGGACTTGGATGAGAGTAGTGCCAAGAACGTCTGGTCGGCAGTCCACACTATCACGTTTAAGCGCGTTCCTGGTCCTCCGTCGCCAGAGCCCTCAACCCTCACATCGACCCCCCAGACTTCTGCTGAGGGTGATACCCTTGAGATCCCAGCCTCTCTCGACAAAGATCCCACAACTTCATCCATCATTCGCCTGCTTCGTGTTTTGCACGAAATGAACGCCACGATCGATGATATTTTGACCGATACCAAAGACTCTGCCACCATTACCTCGGAGCCCTTGAGCCAATTCATCAACACGAAGCTCACCGCCAAGCTCAACCGCCAACTCGAGGAGCCATTGATTGTGGCAAGCGATTGCCTTCCAAGTTGGAGCGAAGACCTAGCTAGGCTTTTCTCCTTCTTGTTCCCATTCGAGACAAGGCATCTATTCCTGCAGTCAACTGCTTTTGGCTACTCACGGGCGATGATGAGATGGCAAAATTCTCAAAGTGGCGAGGACAGCCGACGGGACCTACGCCGCGATGATCGCCCATTCCTTGGGCGGCTGCAACGCCAAAAAGTGCGCATCTCTCGTTCTCGCATCCTTGATTCTGCATTGAAGGTCATGGAACTCTATGGGTCTTCCCCCAGCATTCTTGAGGTTGAATACTTTGAAGAAGTTGGTACTGGACTAGGGCCGACTCTTGAATTCTACTCTACTGTTTCCAAGGAGTTCTCGAAGAAGAAGCTTAAGATCTGGAGAGACACAGACGGGAGCTCTGCTGCAGAATATGCATTTGGAAAGCGCGGCCTGTTCCCAGCGCCGATGAGTGACGAACAAGCAGCCCAGGATATGGGCAAGAAGCAATTGAATATCTTTAAGGTGCTAGGAAAGTTTGTGGCTCGCTCGATGCTTGACTCCCGGATTATCGACATTTCGTTCAATCCAGCGTTCTTCCGTATCGCGGATACTATGTCCTCGGTGGCACCATCCCTAGGCACTGTCAAGGTGGTTGATCATGATCTCGCGAAGTCCTTGATCATGCTCAAAGAATTTGTCAATGCCAAAAACGCTATTGAGGCAAACAAGTCGCTTTCGCCAGCCCACAAATCCGAGGCCGTGCAAAACATCACGGTCCACGGTGCCAATGTTGACGACCTCGGTTTGGATTTCACTCTACCTGGATATCCTGCTATTGAGTTGATTCCTGGCGGCGCCGATGTGCAGTTGACAATCGAGAATGTTGACACTTACATCGAACGGGTGATCGACATGACCTTGGGCAGCGGTGTCCGGCGTCAAGTGGACGCCTTCCGGGCTGGGTTCTCGCAAGTCTTCTCCTTCTCCTCCCTTTGTGCTTTCACTCCAAGTGAGCTTGTCATGCTTTTCGGACAAGCGGATGAGGATTGGTCTATCGAGACCTTGATGGACTCCATCAAGGCCGATCACGGGTTCAACATGGACAGTCGGAGTGTGCGCAACTTGCTGCAGACTATGAGCGAGCTGGACAACCAGCAACGCCGAGATTTCCTTCAGTTCGTCACTGGTAGCCCCAAGCTCCCCATTGGAGGTATGTTAATCCTATTTTTCACACCGCATAAACCCCCACTGACTAACACAACCAATACAGGTTTCAAGAGTCTCACACCTATCTTCACTGTCGTGTGTCGCCCAAGCGAACATCCATATACACCAGACGACTATCTCCCCAGTGTGATGACCTGCGTCAACTACCTGAAGTTGCCAGACTATAGCGACTTGGACGTTCTCAAGAAGCGCCTCTCAGTCGCCATCAAAGAAGGCCAAGGCGCTTTCCACCTTTCCTAGGACCTGTGGACAGGCGTTCACACTCAAAACTTCCACTATCTCCTCTGCTCTCTCATCTCTCTCTCTTTTGCTGGCTTCCGTCTTTCTCAACCAGGACGAGAAACTATTCACGATGCGACGACGTGCGACCTGTTTCTGATTTGTTCCTCCCCAATTCCCAAGTTTTCGGACGGGCTGTTTCGCTGTTCTTGTCTTTTCCTTCTTCATATGCCATCTGGGTCGAAAGGCGTCATGGCGGGGGTTCCTTACGATAGTGGTATTAGATAGTAATGATCACTTTCTACTGAAATCTAGTTTTTCTGGTGTAGGTTTTTCCATACCGAGGTATTTATACAAATGTACTGTAGCACAAGGGCTATTTCAATGAAACATAAGGCAAGACGTAGGGGTCAATTGCCCCATTAAATAGCCGGGCTTCCTCACATTCCTCCGAAATCACCGATGAATCACTCGTGGAATGTAACATACATATTCATCGGATTGCCTTTTGTTGAATAAAACCATCCCTATGCTATGGCTGCTCCTCGAGAGATTACCATTGAATGCCTCACCGGCCATTGGGTTCTGGTACATATACTATCCCCCTTCTGATACACTATGTTCTAATCATATTATTGTCTACAGAACAAGGACCTAACCAGCGAGACAGACCCTATCCTAAAACTGGTTCGAAAGATCTCCGCCGTTTCTACAACCACAAATCCCAAGCTAATCATCACAATCTATCCATAGCAAAAAGTACCTTGGTTGATCCGCAAGGCATTCGGATTCGCAACAATATACATCCAAATCTCGCAATACCAAACACCAGCCTCTGAAACGAGCCAGCCATCAACAAACATCGACTTCAACCAAACAGCCACTGCAGGCCTAGCCGCAACCAAAGAAGAGCGCGTCTTGGACTGGAAAATATCAGACCACGAGGACTACTTCTTCGGAAAGGTCCAAGCACAGAGTGAATTCGTTCACGGTGTCATTGATGCAGACGGAATCGTAAGGCCTGGATTTGAGATTCAGACGGACAATGCCAATGCGCAGGTAAAGCAGTACTTGCGAGGTGAGATCGAGGCGGATGGGAGGAAATCCCCGGGTTTTACAGTTGAGGATTGGAGTGGGATGTTGGAAGAGGGGCCTGGGCTTTGGGTACATACTTTTGAGAGGAATGTTAAGTCTGGATGGACGGCGGAGCAGGTGAGTATTGCAATTTATTGTTCATTGTTCATTGTTGGGCTGTATCAGAAACTGACTATTTGCGCGACAGATTTGGGGGTTTGAGATGTTCGGAGACTCGCGATACTTCTCTCGTCGAGTAGTGATCATGACGACGAAAGGAGAATATATATGTGGGAGAATTGTGTTTGATTTTGTAGGTGCTTAATGAGTAACTTTGGAGAATCATGGGAAAATTAGTAAATCTATTCTATCTTTCTAAAAGTCTATAACTCTATGATCTATAACTCTATAACTATATACAACGCAAGGGGATATCCACTTCTAACAACACAGACAAGACACTCTAGCTCGAATAAATCGACACCATAGACTGTGAAAACTGTTAGCCAAACGTGCTTCACGCAGATAGAACAAAAGGATAACTCACGTCCGCAAATTTAGGCTCAATAAACAAGGCCTTGGCCTCAGCAACCATTACCGCACCTTCACTATCCTCCTGCAGCAGACTAGCATCAGAAACGATGCCATGCGAGTCCGCAGACAGTGGCAAAGTCAAAGGAAGATAAGTCATCCGACCCTCAACCCAAGCCTTCCTGCCTTCAACCTTAACCGTCTTAGTGCGCAGCACATACATGCGGTCGGGAAGCGCGGGCTTTCGGAAATCCACATTGAGATTAGCCGTCATACCCAGCCCGCTGGGGAAAGCCGCAGAGACACAGCGTGCAAACACTTCATCGAAGAGAACAGTGAGCAGACCACCATGGACAAATCCAGGGTGACCACAGAGGTCCTGACCGATATGGAATACCGATACAACGCTGCTGGCTCGGTCGGCATTCTCGGTCTGTGCTCCGGACTTGCCGGTCGATAGCCACATGTATGGTGCGAATGCAAGCTTGCCTGGACCAGTCAAGCTTCCGCCCACGAAGTGGTGCTGTCTGATTGGCGGTGGGATTGCGAGATGGGGACGGGTTTCCTTGTATGTGCTGTGGGTTTGGCGGAGTGTTTGGACGAGAGGGATTTGGGAAACCAGTGTGTCGAGGGTTGTAGATCCATGGTGTGGTGATTGAGCCACGGGTGTGGATTGTGACTGGGTCTGGGAAAGGAATGAGGGTGCTTCTGTGCTTGGGAGTGCTTGGTCGTGAACCACTGCCGACCGTTTTGGGCCTTGTTGGTGAAGACGGGCAATAGGCGCTGCGGGCGAGTATGTTCTGAATGCTGAAAGGTTTTGCGATCGGAATAGCCGGCGCGCTGTTTGTGAAATGTTTGACATCCTGAGAAGTATGTATGAAGCCGATATTGACTCTAGTCATGCATGTTAGAGGGGCTTGTTTAATTGCCGACCGGGGTACATACTCGGTCGGCTCTTCTTTAGTATGTCGATCTTCCTAGTGCTTGGACTAGGGCTGGGTGATATATGAAGTACACCACACTTGGACTTTTGCAATGACGATGATGAAAAGAAGATTGTCCTGCAATTTAAAGAACAGACCCGCCACCCTTTAGATTAATCCTGTTTCTGTCTGTTTTTTCAAAGCCGATTTTTCTCCTGGACCCAACAGTGGGGCTCAAACCTTGGAACAGCCGATGATCGGACCGAAATGCCAAGACATATTGTTCGGGATGCCGAGAACTATAAGATCCCGTAGATCTATATCAATATAGCTTCATAATTCAACTTCCATCTACGGAGGGAGGAAGATCAAAGGTCGTAGTATAAAGTATTAGCAAAGTATGGTGGTTTTGAACGTGGGGTCCTTCCTCGTTGGGGGTTCACATGCAGCGCATAACTGTTATGTTCTCATGGAACAGCACTCACTCTCGTCGTCTCCCCTTCTCTCGTTTTCATTCAAACCACAAGTACCATCCATCTCGATATCATCTGTTCTCTTGTATTAGCTTTTTTTTCAATTGCTTCTCTTCGTATCTTTTCAAGATGCAGGATGAAACCAACTCTTCTTCTGGCGAGGACTCTGGCCCCGAGACCACCACCAGCCCTGTTGACTCTGACGTGACCAATGCCACCCAGAGCGTGAACAACCCGTTTGGCTCTGGTTTGACCAATGGCCCCCAGGCCGTTACCAACCCATTCGGTGTTGGCGCGACCTCTCAGGCCGCGAACAACCCTTTCGGCCCTGGCGTGCGTACTGTCCCTCAGGCTGCCACCAACCCGTTCGGTGCTGGTGCCCAGACCTTCAACAATCCCTTCGGTTCTGGTGCGGGTAACATCCCCCAGGCCGCCAACAACCCGTTCCGCTCTGTGGGGACCAATGGCACCCAGACCACCGCCAACCCTTTCGGTCCTGGCTGGGCCCGTCCCTCCCAGCTCAACAACCCTTTTGCTTCTGGGGTGGGCAATGCGCCCCAGAGCATCAACAACCCTTTCCGCCCCGTCCCCGCCGAAGACGGCCCCCGGACTCCCAACGGGGGATTGACCAATGGTCACTCCCACGGAGATGAGTGGCGCGCTCCCCGCCCAACGGATTTCAATCCGTTGTACAGCCCTCCCGATGACGAGACCGACGAGGAGAGCGAGGAGGAGAGCGAAGAGGAGACCGACGAGGAGGACCTTGATGAAGAGACCGACGAGGAGGAGGACCACTACGATTTCTCCGACGAGGAGGAAGGGGACTCTGCCCCATATGTTGACAACTCGGCCCTGGAGGCCATCTTCGACGCCATTCTGGCGGAGGGCAATGAGGAGGAGGATGCCGCTGACGACTCCAGCGACGGCGACGAGGACGCCTACCTGGACGAGGCGTAGGCAAGTAAATGCTTACTTAAATGCAAGGTTTGTATTACATTCTCTTTTACCTTGGGCTCCAGTCAGCTTCAGTTCAGTCTATTATTGCTTCGGACTCACATCGGCTTCATTGCTAACTCATTTGCTTCTCATCTAGGTGCTGGTGAGGAGAGCGGTAGTGGCTTCCTCATCAGCTTTCCTCGGCCTTGCGGCCCCACCACGGCTGACCTCAAGCGTTGTGGGGCTACCAATACAATGATCATGCGGTGGGGGAGGAAATGCTTCTTGTTTGAGTCGCCCGGGAGAGGAGGGCGACGATGTATGATTTGGATCGGCGGCATGGGCCGTTTGCTGTTTCATTCCGGCCTGGAGAATCACACTGCGCTGTTGTCACCCAGGCCAGGGGCAACTCTTTGAGTTGTTCCATTGTGTTGAGTATCTTTCTTGTGTTGAGCACGTTTGTTTTGAGTTGAGGTGATCACTGATGAATATCATTTTCATTTCAACTCCCCCGGTTGATACCCTTTACATGGAAGAGGCATATCAAGGCTGGAAGTGGCTGACAAAGGCGCTTGTGTGGTTCTAAAGCAGGAAGAGAAGAGTTCAAGTTGCGAGACCTCGTCGGCTGGGTTATACGCCCGCAATACGACAATACGATACGATACCATACGATGCGACGATGGGACGCGAAAACATATTCACTTTGGCTTTAAGCCGACATTCTGGACTTGCTCCGATTGCCCTAAGCTAACCTATATAAACCTGCGGCACTCAACCCAAGGCTGCCTGATACACGCGAATATCAAGCGGCTTCAGTGCCTCCGGCTTTCCTGAACTTACTGCAAGCAGATCAGGAAAGAAATGCTGGACCGCTCCGTGAAACTTAGAATGGATCGTCTCGCAAATCCAAGAACCTTATACAGGACCCAACACAAAGCGGAGTTCGTTGCTGGTCCACAGTATAGACCGAAGAAGTTCGATCCATATTTATCTTATCGACTCTAAAAATCTAAGTATTCCGAGGTATGAAAAGACCAAATACATCCAATGGATCTAGCCCAACAAGCTATTCATGCATTTGATACTGACAAAACGGCTTCTAGAACAAGGTACCATCACCAAAGTTCAAGATAGGACTACACTTGGTCTCCGGACGTTTAGCCGCTGCAAGCTCACGACCAGCTTTCCAGGAGCCCGCCTCCAACACCTGAGGCAGAGACAGTTGGACACCATCCAAGCGAGCGAGAATCTTCGTATGTAGCACATCGAGGAGGGCAACGGTCATCGCTCGCCATTCCACAATCTCATCATCGCCTGCACCGAACGAAGGCAAGCTACCACCCGAAAGACTCAAACCTCGGTGCAGTGACTCGGGCTTCAATTCTAGAACTCCCATGTCGACAAGCATTCCTCCGTTGCGGTACTCCGGCAGACCAGTTCCCAGCTCGGTATTAGACCATGAGACTGAGAGCAGACGAGAGAACGGCACCATCAATGAGTACGCTAGCCATTGGGTCAGCTTATGGAACGGTTGGATGTTGGAGTAGGGTTTCGACTCTGATCCAGCCTGCTGCGAAAGTGCTCGCAGGGGCCACGCATCGCCAATGGGCTGTCCATTAATGCGAGTACGATCAGACGGCCAGATGGGAATCAGGAGGCGCTGCAGCACGTTCCAAAGATCCCGGTAATCGAGCTTTCCGCTATCATTCGATTTGGCAATGAGGTAGTCTGGATGTTTTGGGAACTGTTTAGTCATTCTGATAAAAAAGGTCCAGAACTAAGTGGACTTCATGGGGGGCATGAACTTACCAACAAGATTACCAGGACGACCGGAAGGACCAAAGATATCTTTCAAGTTCACTAAAGACTCGCCGAGTTTACGGAGGATATCTGCACGTGCAGGAACTCCAATCATGGGATTGGCATCGTCGACCTGGAGTCCACGGGATAAGATGTCTACATTGATATTGCGCAATGCATCGCCTAGCACAAGTCAGCCGAATATCGCATCGAATATAAGAGCAAACGATTACCATTGACGGTGTGTTTCACGGACGAGTCCTGGCCAGCAAAGTCGCCGTCCAGGAACATGTGCAGGGCTGCTACCGCAATACCCTCGCTTCGGTTGAGGGTCAGACCGCTTTGTGACTCATTGAATTTCCAAAAGTCTCCGGCGCCAGCATCCAAGAGGACAGAGACGAAGAAAAGATCTATCAGTCTGCGTGTCTTTTCGGTGGTGTCACATTTCTCCTCATCCCATTCAGCCAGAAGAGTGGCTATGCGGGGAACCCCGCCGACTTCGAAATGCTGCCAGCGTCCATGGGGCGGAATTAGGTGATACTTGTCAGGGCCAAAGTCGCGCTATTATTGAGAGTGAGCTTTTTTATGCTTGGAACTGTAGGTTTCCCTCTGGGTATGTGCTAGCCCTACCTGAATCAGTTTAAGTACGTAGTCGGTGGCATCTTCCATGCGGTTAGGGTGGTAGTTGAAATGATTCAAACGACCCTCTTCGGCTAGTTTGAGGACAACATGGGCTCTTGTACGGACGGCTTCTAGGCCTAATAGTTCTTCAATTTGGGGATCCATGTTGATTGAGAGAATGGGAGAGATGAGTTCTGGAGAAGACCAAAAAGGTGCGTTTTATTACTCAGAGCTAGGAAGGCGGGGGAACCTTGGAACACATGCACTTATGTAAATAGTTGCATATATGCCGAATAAACTAGGTACCTTTAGGCAAAGTGTCTTGGATACCATAGACTATCCTGCTCGGAGCTGTTGGGGTATTCTTTGTCACTGATATGTTATCTAACAGATATCGGACTTCTCCGATAACATTGGGCTGGGCAATTTCGAAGGATTGAGGAGGTACATATCCAGAGTAGTTTTGGTATAGACTAATATCAAAAAACTATAATTTTTACGAACCCAATGCTTCAGTAGATTCAGAATTAGAATGTCAGAGGGTCAAGGTGGCCCAGGAACGCGTCGTTGCCCTCACCACGAAGAAGAGCATCGATGTCAATGCGACCGGCCGTAAGATACTTCTCACTGACACCGATGTTCACTCGCTGGGAAAGGTGTTGTTTGAGCTCCGCACGAAGCCCGGCCATTTCGCTCTTGGTCGTCTCACTAGCCTCCTTGTCACGTCTTTCGCGACCACCACCACGACCACGGCCTCTACCCTTAGACTGATCAAACTCGTCACTGTCATACTCAACACCAAGATCATCGGCCGCAGCTCGGAGCCAGTTGTCCTCGGTGTTGACCTTCTCTTTGGCAATAGTGGAGTCGGTAATTCGCTTGGCGAGAGCCATGCGGGGGCGGAGGCGAGCAACCACTCGGCGATCAATGTCGAGAGACTCGAGAGGAATCTTCTTGCTAGGTCCGTCGGGGTCGTCGGCCTTCTTCGCCTTCTTGGCGTGGATCTTGCCAGCGAGACGGGCAACACCGACAACCTCGTCAGGAGCACAGATCAGAATACTCTTTCCGGACTCACCGGCACGAGCAGTACGGCCAGATCGGTGAACATAGGCGTCTGCTGTGCGGGGAACGTGGTAGTGGATGACGCAATTAATGCCCTTGATATCCAAACCACGAGCGGCCACGTCGGTGGCGACAAGAATTGAGCTTGGGTTGGCGGTAGGAGATGAGAAACGTTCGATAGAACGGAGTCGGGCTTTCTGGGCCATGTTTGAGTGGAGTGCGAACACGGGAAGTTGGAGAGCTTGCAAAAGCTGAGTGATGCGGCGGACAGCGGAGATGGAGTTTGTGAACACAAGTGTGCGGTTCTTGGGATAGTAGAGAAGAACTGAGTAGAGATAGAGGTCCTGGTTATTTGAATTAGTATCGGGGTTCGAGCGGTTCAAAAAGAAAGTCTTACCTTTTCCATAGCAGGGCATTCGACAATTCCTTCCTTGAGTCCGATGGCCATCTGTGACTCCGGGTTCACATCGATGAACTTGGGCTTCTCTTCGCGGAAATTAAGTTTTTTGAGAAGGTACTCCATAGACGCTTTGTTGTCCAACATATCACCACTTGTCCAGCGGCTTTTGCCTGCTAGCTTTTGTTGAAGATCCTTGTGGAATGTGGCCGAGAAGACAAGAGTCTGCCTGTGAGATTGCTCCTCCTCCTCTTCTTCCTGGTCCATGTCTGCAATATCTCCGGCTTGATGTTTGTCCAGTGCATTAAGAATATCTTCCATCTCCTTGAAATGACCTTCACTCAGCAGTCTGTCCGCCTCGTCGACGACCAGGAACTGGATCTTCTGCATTTGGCGGATCAATCCCGTTCCTGTGCTTAGGATCTCCCAAATTCGGCCGGGGGTTCCAACGACAATATCCGCCGTGGCAATTTGTCTCTGTTGCTTCTGAATAGACATACCACCGGTCACAAGAGCGATTCGGGCGTTGGTATCCGGGGAATTGGCAATGAGCTCTCCGATATGCCTTCCAAGCTGATGCGCCAGCTCTCGAGTGGGAGATAGAATCAATGCAATAGGGGATTTGTTCTTCTCAGAATTGTCGGACTGTTCCTCCTGTTTCCCTCTCTTATCCAAGTAATGCTCGATAATCGGAATACCAAATGCCAATGTTTTACCGGAACCTGTGGAGGCCTTTCCAACAACATCATGCCCATCGAGAATGGCAGGAATACTGGCTTTTTGAATGGCCGATGGAGAGCTGAACTTCATTTTGGAAAGGGCCGTAAAGGTCTCGGGCGAAAGATTGAGACCATCCCAAGCGGACACGTCCACACCGTCGTCCTCCTCGACATCATCGAGAGCCGCGAATGAGAGCCCGGCCTTGATGTTCTTCTGGCCCTGAGCAGGTTTGGACTCCTTAGGCTTTTGCTCCTTGGGCTTTTGCTCTTGTTTCTTGGCTTTGTTTTGCTCCTTCTTCTTGTCCTTCTTGGACTTCTTATCTTCCTTCACTTCGGTTGCAGCGGGAGTCTTCTCGGTGGCAGGAGACTTTTTGGACGAGTCTTCGTCGCTAAAACCGCCCCATTCCTCTCCATCATCTTCAGACGGGGGTTTGATAATTGATTGTGTTGGCTTGCCAGACTTAGCCTATCCACCCAACCATATATATTAGCGTTTAGTCAACATAATCGATCAAAGCATGCAGCCTCATACCTTGAAATGAACCCCTCCATCGCTCTGTTTTATGATATCCACACCCTCAATCTCTTCTAGACCGAAGAAACCCTCCGCATCGTCCATTCGATCTGGCATAGCAACTTCCTTCCAGTTGAGATCCTCAACTCCGAGAGAGCCATAATCGTCGCTTGAAGCTGCGTCAGACTTGACAGCCTTCTTGCGTTTGTTTCCCTCAGCCACCTGGGCTTTGGGATCGCGTGCTCGCTTTTGACCCATTATGAACTGAGTAATTCTTGAGTATTACAGTGTGTTCCGGTAGACAAGTGATCCAAGTACGCCGTCGGGGAAGATTCGCAAAGAAAAAAAGCGGCAGAAATTTTAGTCCGCCTTTGGAATCTTATCTTTTCGTTCCCCACGTTCGCCGCAAAATTAACCCACTTTGACAGACTAGGACTGCCAATTGCGCCTGAGCAGTCTGTTTTTCAAGATGGGAAAATCATCCAAGGACAAGCGCGATGCTTATTACCGTCTCGCCAAGGAGCAAAATTGGCGCGCCCGTTCCGCCTTCAAGCTTATCCAGATCGACGAGCGATTTGACCTATTCGAGCACGAGAACCCGGACAATGTGACGAGAGTCGTGGATTTGTGCGCTGCACCTGGAAGCTGGAGTCAAGTACTCAGCCGTGTCTTGATCAAGGGCGAAAGCTTCGGGCGGCGGGCATGGCTCGAGAAAAAGCGGAAAGAACAACAGGGATTGGAGGGCGCAGAGCCAACAACGGCCGATGATGATAAAATGGACTGCGATGAGCCTTCTCCAAGCTCTGAATTAAAGCCCCGGAAGAACGTAAAGATCGTATCAATCGATCTGCAACCCATGGCACCGCTCGAAGGTATCACAACCCTAAAAGCTGATATCACACACCCCTCTACGATTCCTCTTCTTTTGCGCGCTCTGGACCCAGAAGCATACGAACAACCATCCACCCCCTCCGACTCTCCATCACCAGCCACAGAGGCTATCAGACAACCTCACCCCGTCGACCTGGTCATCTCCGACGGTGCCCCGGATGTAACAGGTCTGCACGATCTAGACATTTATATTCAATCACAACTACTCTTCGCAGCGCTAAACCTTGCTATGGGAGTCCTCCGACCGGGCGGCAAGTTCGTCGCTAAGATCTTCCGCGGCCGTGATGTTGACATTCTCTACGCGCAACTGCGGACTGTCTTCGAGCGCGTCAGCGTCGCGAAGCCACGCAGTAGTCGCGCTAGTAGCTTGGAGGCATTCGTGGTCTGTGAAGGCTTCATTCCACCCGTTAGTGACAGCGGGGTGGTCGGTATGGCCGCATTGAAAAATCCACTCTTCGGCGGCGCCGCGGCTCCAGTAGCCGTGTCAGAAGATGGCAATGTGGGCATTGAAGTTCGCGAGGAAATCGACCAAGACACACGGGCCCGAGATACCCTGACGCAACCCGCGGCAATTAGCAGTCCTGCGCCCAATCACTCCACTGAAGTCCGCCATCTTCAAACCACAACATCACAAGACCAACCCCAACCCCAACCCCAGAAACTGTCTAACAAGTTCGCGGTTGAGAACCGGTGGATTCCGTCGTTCATTGCTTGTGGTGATCTTTCCGCTTGGGATTCCGATGCAACATACACCCTACCTCCGGATTATGTTAATCTGGATCCTATCCAGCCACCCACTGCACCACCGTATCGTCGGGCATTGGAGTTGAGGAGGGAAAAGGGTGGTGCATATGGAAAGACCAAGTATGGACCCGCTGGTCAGGTTTGATTGTTACGTTGCATGAGTTTCAAGAAAAAGTTGTATGTATAGACGACCTAGACACGACATAGCATTCTCGAGGGTCATGCTAGGAAGGCATTGTCTTCGAAGCAGATACCCAAATACATTTCATTGAATTATATATATTTTAGTCACCAACGGATCTAAATTTAGGAGAGATATGATTGAAGATCGTGAAATTCTAAATGCATTTTCAAGTCTTTCAAGGCTAGTGCGCTAGCCCAAATCAGGATCTAAATATGAGGGGGAATAAAAAGCAAAAACATGCCAATCGTACAATCATGCCATGCGAAAACGAAGCAACAGAGTCTAGTAGACCTCCAAAACGTAGCGCTCCTCATCCTTCAGCTTCTCAATCTCCTTGCGAGTCTCAACCTTCTTACCGTTGTTCTTGGCTTCGGTGGCAATGGCCTCCTCCAGAACAGCGGTGACATCGGGCACGGGCCAAGTGGGACCGCACAGGTAGAAAGCACCCTCCTCACGAATGTAGGCCTGGATGATCTCGGGCAGAGTCTGGCGCATACGATCCTGGATATAAATCTTCTCAGGCTGGTCACGAGAGAAGGCAGCGCCGAGGAGAGTAATGACACCAGCCTCCTGGTAAGCCTCCCATTCCTCGCCGTAGCAGTACTCCTCGCGCTGGTGACGGGAGCCCATATACAGCAAAACAGCGCCGATCTC